ATCTTTTGCCATGGAAAACACAGTGCCCAAAGACAGTCTGCAATAACTATTCCCTGTCCTCTGGCAACACTGTGACCTGCCCTCCTTCCAACCCCAATCAACCCAACCTGAATGAGATTGTAAGCTAGGAGGCTTTTTCATTTGTCACCACAAACACCTATCATGTACCAACTTTAGTTCACATTTATTTCATTCTGTACTTTATTCCAGAAACTGAGACTAAAGAATAGTACAGAGAAATTTAAAGGACCTTGTACAGATGAAACAGAACTATTTTAGAAATTTTTTAAAAAATCACACATAGGATCACAACCATTAAAGATAAAATGAAAATAACATGTAAAAGAAAACATAATTTTTTAGAAAGTCATGCATAAACACATGTACATATCTACATAAATGTAATTTTTTCGATAAAAACAAATCTCATCCTAGCCTGTATTAGCAGTTTCTCACAGAAGGCTATGGCCCAATCATAAAATGTGGAAGGGACCAAAAATGGGGCCTGAGTAACTCTGATTTTGTATTTGTGGTTTTTGATTATGTTTCACTCATTTGACTATTTTTGTAAGAAAATGAAAACAACCTGTGAATGCCAGCTTTTTTACACAAGGTGTAATCACATTCCACTTTCAATGACACACAGTTACTGAGTTAAAAGACTGAAAGCTACCAAATCTCAAAGTGAAATCTCTCAATCCTACGCAGCTCTACACAGCCAACTGGTTTCCCTGTGGAAATTCATCCAGAGTGCCCCCGGGAACAACCCTTTTATGTACAGAATAGACTTTTACAGCCAAGTAATTAAACATGGAAAGTAAGGGCTTATAATTAAAATGCTGACAAACCTGAACTGAGCGGCACAAGTAGAGCTGCTATAATATTTTTACAATTCCTTTTTATACATAATGTATGATCCTTCTGCTCGTTTCCTCTATGTTCTTTTGCCTGTGAAATAATTTACATTAATAAATAATTTATTACCATAACTCCTAAAAGTAATTATAGGTCTCTATCCAATTTTTTAGCATATGAATTGTTTTGTTCTGTCCACTGACTTGTATTTACAACACTTTTCCTAGTGGCCTTTTTGAAATAATTGGTAGTGCCTTCGCTTTCTCTCAAAAATTTTGTGCTTTCCAGGTCTTCTCCTTGCCTGAGCAGTGAGGAAAATGAAATGTGTGGTGTCCATTGTCCCCTCAACACAGAACTCATTTAATGGCTGTAATTAGCAGAGAGTGATGAAGAGCGCTTACTTCACCCCACTTGCCCTGTTTCACTAAAAATGATTAAACTAGTCTATGTGTGCCCCAGAGTCAGCATGAAGAAGCATCTCCCACCACAGATGGCAGAGTATTCAGAAGTGCTGTGTACAATGGCTTCCTGTGCAGGCCTCACCTCACCCCACACAGGAGGATCTGCATTATGTGCTCAATGGAAGCCAGGACCAGGAGCAGGGGTCTGGCTCCCTGCCTGGCCAGCTGACCATGGGTGGACCGCACCCTTTGAGCTGCCACCTGACCCACATTTCCTGTGTCAGAAGCATAATATGCCATCAGGTTGATGCCTCTTCCCCCAAGAAATTGTTTGCAGAGGAAATTCCATTCCACAAAAGATGGGCTGGGGATGAGCCGGGACATTAGAAAGAAAACCATGAGGCAAATTTAGCCTCTGTCAGAAAGGGCCCTGGGGTGACAGAATAGGCCAGGCACCCTAATAAGAGGCCATTTGTTGGGCACAGAGCAGGTGGGCAGGGCTAGGATCCACTCTGCCCTGAGTCTCCATACACACCTTACCTGACTTTGTTTTCTCCCCAAATCCGGAAAAGCACAAAATCAATTCTTTGTACCAAGTTTCCAAACTGGAGTAGCAGACAAAGGTGAGGTAAAGACTGGTATCCACTTGAAATCACAAAACAAGTAGTACTTTGAAAATAAAACAAAGGCCATCATCATAAGCACTGGATTATGCTTTTTCAGGGGTGGAAAGGAGACCATTTGGAAAGATGGCATTCTAGGCAGCAGCACAGAATACACTGTTGTGCTCCTATTCCTAATGTATTCAGTGGACCTTTCTTTTGAGCATTCATGAAACCCAGACTCATATGGGCTTCCACCTAGGGCCCTTGCCTGGGGTGAGGGGTTAACAAGATCCAGCTCTCACAGGAGAATTATTCCACTGATTGGGGCTAGTACTTGAGCCCTTTATCTCCAGAAAACAGACTGGGATTTGGTGATTATAATAATTTGATTTTTTTTTTACTTAGCATTGTCCAACCCTGGAAGGACCAAAAACTCTCTATAAAAGCCTGGCCGGCTCCTCAGGGTGTTCTCTTCCCTGTTATTGAAAAGCAGACACACCCAAGATGAAATCTCACCATCTAGGTGCACTCCATTTGCACAGCACAGGATGAGGCCACAAAATCCCGATTCGCAGGTTAAATAGGCTGGAGTGCTAACCTGAGCCTCCCTCAGCACACACTGGCCTTGGGAGGCCTTGGATGGCTGACACTCCTCCCTCAGTAGATACCAGAAAAGGACAGAAAGGAAGGGAAAGAGTGAACGCCTCTGGGGTACTGCCATTTCTTTGAATGCCCACAACAGCTACAAATGCTCAAAAGAAACTGAGGCACAGCAGGATGAAATAACTTGCTCATGGCTCTCAGGGCTTTTGCATTTTGGAAGGTGGCCCACATCAAGGCGAATTCATTACATGCGGCTTCTCCTCTTGACAGAAATTTCCTTGTGGGCAAGGATCTTCTGACTATAGGGGCTGAACAACAGGCAGTAAAGGAATGTTGGGAAGAAAACGTAAAGCAAGACAAGGGCATGCTCTTGACCCACCACCTGCACAGCTGCCGAAGCACCTGCTTGAATGACCAGCAGTGCCTTGGTGCTGTCCTGCAGGATGGGGCCTTGCAAAAGGGAAGAGGGAGGGCAAGACCCTGGGACGGAGGCAGAGTTTCCGAAAGAGTAAGAGTCACAGCACAGAGGCCCCAAGCCTTCCTGATAGAAAGCAGGCCTCCTCCAAGAGGCATCAGGCTGCTGGGCTCCACAGGCACTGACTGCTGGCCAACCTGAGCCTCCTTTCCCAAACCTCTGCCTTGGGCCCTGGCCAGAGGTCTGGCAACCTACAAGGGCAGCTCCTATGGGTACTTCCTCTCCAAAGAAGTCAAGGTGTACCCTTTGTTTAGGTGTGGAGGATTCTTCTCAGGAAGCAGGATACTCAGCTTAAGTCTCAGTCTTTTTCTTAACTATCACCTATGGAGTGCTCTCTCTATGCTAATCTCTTTGTAAACATGTCACAGAGTTCTCACAATAAACCTACATGGTAGGTGCTAACATAACTACCATTTTGCACATGAGGAAACTGAGGCTCAGAAAATTTAAGAAGTTCAGCACGATTATATGACCCCTAACACTGCCCATCACAAACTCACAAGGGTTCACCTTATTATGACTCATAAGATATAAAGGCCTAACACATGAATAGCCCTGACCCCCACAACCCAGGCTGGTCTGATTTCTGTTTCAAGCTGGAATCTGGTGAATCGAGAGAAGTCTCTCTCTTTCCTGGCATGACAAATGGAGGCAGCTTGTGAGGCTGTCCCAGGAAGCAGGCAATGCAGCAAGCTTCCGGACCATGTGCTAGGGTTCAGAAGGTTTGAAAGCCGTTAACCACCAAGAAGGTACTCAATTGTATGGTGACAGGCCTCAGAAGTGTGTCACACAGTACACCAAGGCCAGGTGATCTCCCTGTTCTACTTCCTCTGGGTGGCAGCATCAAAGAGGACCACCCCACTCTCCCAGAGCTGTGACATACAACTGAGAAGAAAACGACCTTCCTTCTCTGCCTGGTCCAATTCTGCCTCACAAGGAACCCTGAGGAGGACCCCTTCACCAGGTGGGTCTCAGTCCTATCTTCTCTGGCTCTGAAGCTGCATACACAGTGCCCACCAGACCCCACAATTCTCTACACGCCATCACAGCTACAGGAAAAGCCCTGGAAAAAGCAAATTACTGGACACAGGGGCAAGGGACGAAGAAAGGAAGGCAGGGATGACTTCCTGTACCTCTCAGAGACCAAGTGACTCTGAAGGCTCACAGCAGTTACCCATCATCAAAATCTGGCCACTGACTCAACACAGACATCACAGAAAGTCATCTGGCAGGACATCTCAATGGAGGTAGAGAGTCATAGAGCGGCAGCGAAAGAAGACTCTGTACTCAATCACTCAGAGCACCAAGAAATCCACACAATCAATACAGTCATCTTTTCTTGGCCCCTAGAAGACACAGCAACTCAAATGTGCATGGAAACATAAGCTGAGTGAGGCACCCTTTCTGGAAGACAAGTCAGCAATACGAATCAAGAAGCTGAAAAGGTCCCTAAGAACTATCCTAAGGAATAACCCAAAACGCAAGACTCAGACACCTCAAGAGTCACTGGTAATGACAACAGCAAATTCAACAGTCCTTTCTGCCCAGGAATCATTTTGATACATCCACACAATGCAATAATCCAGACCATTAAAATGCATGGAATGAATAATTTTTCATGCTGTGGTAACTAACAAATGAAAAAGCAAACAAATACAGTTTTATATAATTATATGTTCATCATGGCCTCGGCTATGTTAAAAAATTCCAAAACAAACATACATGAAAATATCAATAGTAGCCAACACTGGGAATTGAGGTTGTAAGACATTTTTACTTTATATACTATATTTTCTAAATTAAAAAATTACTATCAATTATTTTAATAATCAGAAAGACTCAACGTTAGAGTTGGAAATGGTATTTGCAAACCAGACACCAGTGCCTGTCCCTCACTCACTCACCCCAGCAGCCCCCAATCATGCAAGAAGCACTAGGGACTCAAATAGTTGAAACACACATAAGAGAGTCCCCGGTGCCCTCTGGCACTCGAAAGAGCTTTCCGTATCTCACCTGGCTGGAACAACTAGAGGAGGACAGCCATGCCATGTGTTTACTCACCCATAATTCCACAAGAGAAAAGGGTAGGTCCTTGACTCATCTTCTTTGGCGTGTGCTGAAAACAACCAGAAAAGCTATTCACTCTTCAAGTCATAATAAGCACATCAGCACATGACTCTGCACTGATCTCTTGCTAAAGTCACAATTATAGAGAGAACTGCCCTTCACAAAGGAAAAAAGAAAAGGAGGATCCCAAGAGACAACATCTGCAAAGGACTGGGCCCAGACTCTGTGTCCAAGTTCCAGCAAGTCACAGATCTACCAAGTGAACAGACTTTTAAGACAGAAAGTCTGTGACTTCTGACATGCGGGGATGTCTCTACGTAAGTGATGTGGGGGAGGTGCAGTGGTGAACAGTTGAACGAACTCCACCACAAAGCTGGAGGCAGACTGGAGAGGTGGGGCTTCCTGGGTGTGAGGAGCAGAGGGCCTACCCCACTCAAGTCCCTCCCTTGGATATGAGGCTAGCTCTTCTTTCTCTAGCAGGAAGCAATGGTAGGCTCGGGGAATGCTAGCTTATGCTTCACAGCTGCTTTGTGGCTACAGCTAGGCCCCTCTAAACTGAAACAGAAACTCAGTGCTTCCGTTGGGCCTCAACCTTAGCGCTAACTCCCGGGCACTGTCATTCTACAACAGTTTCCCCTTCCACTGTGGGCATTTCCCATCTTCCCTCAGAGCTAATACCGAGACTCAGCCTAACAATATGGTCCTGCAGTAAAAACCAGGCCCAGGGAGCCTGGAGGAGCCTGAGTGCCAGGCACTTGTTCCATGGCTAGAGAACAATATGAGCAGAGAGGATTCTGGGGGTTACTCATGCTCACTGACATCCAAGTCAATGGGGCTGCTCTGATCACAAGTGTGAAGGAGACTCACCATCAGGAACCCAGGAAGGTCTGCCTCACGCATTCTGAAGATAGATTGGCCCCTTATTCATTTAGCAGACAGGAAAGGCAGTCATCTGTGTGCAGCCTGTGTTGGCATGGACCATGCAAGGGGGAACAAAACTCTCAGCCCCAGATGGGCCAGCCAGCTTTGGAAAGGGTACCCTCCTCACCCTCAAAGATAAGGATAGGCAAGGCTGACAAGCTGAGAAGTGGAGAGGAGCCAGTCCTTGGCTTTTTAAGTCTTAGAAAGGGTGGAGCTGACTAGGAACACCTGGCCTACCCTGATAAAAAGGGTGGCACACCGGGCACCAGGTCTCTCACCTCATCTCCATCTGCCCCAATATGGAGACCTTTGTACTTGGACAGCAATGCGTTTATCCCACACGGTTTTTAACGATCCATCCTAATCAGTGTATGGACACAGAGGTAAAGGAGGGCTCATGTTTCATGGAGCTCAGTCAAGCAGACAAACCATTACACTATAGAGAGAGAGAGCTGAAGCTGAAGGGAAGCAGAGGTTGTGTACTGGGGTAGGAGAGGAGGTGAGGACCAGCTTCAGGGTGGGGGAGAGACCCTGAGCTGGAATTGAAGAACCAGAAGAAGCTGAATAGGGCAATCCTCCTCTAGGCCCTCTCTTCAGTTTTTTGTTTAATTTCTGGGTTTTTGTTTTGTTTTGTTTGAGACAAGGTCTTGTATGTCTGTTTAGGCTAGACTTGAACTCATTATATAGCCTAGGATGATCTCAAACTAACAGAGATCCTCCTGCCTCAACCTCTTGAGTGCTAGGATTACAACTGTATACCACCACAGCTGGGTCTTCCTCCTCAGTTTAAAACACTTGCACTACTGGGCTAGGTTACCCTCTTGAGTTCCAATGATGTAACTAATCATCCATTCTACAGCCACCCAAGGCAGTAGCTGGAGAGAAGTGAAGATAGCTGCACTTGTCTTCCTCCCAGATGACCCAGTTAACACTGCAGGATAGCACAGCTCAGCAACACCAAACTCACCCAATGGAGAATGGGTAAGAAACACATGAGAGCCCGTCACTGGGGCTATGCCACTCACACAGCCAAGGGCACAGCCTACAGACCCCAGGCAGGCCCCTTGCTCTCAGGGGAAGGGTTCAGAGAGAAAAAGTGGGTTTTCTCCTTGCCAAGTGCCTTGCCTGCCAAGGGTGACAAGCTCTAACACTCTAGGAGTACCCAGGCACAAAGAAAAAAAATACCTACTGGAAAGCCACTATCCCCACACCCTGGCTGGTAGCCCTGTGAAACCCCAACCATGACAAGGACCACTGAAAACAGAAGAGAACTAGAAGACTGCTTTAATGTTATGAAGGTACCTTGAAGAGTTTAGGCTTTGCAGACAGAAACGGTACACAGCCAACTCCTACCCTGGTGGTAAGATGGTGCCCACAGCCTTTTCATCCCACTCAATTGGCAGGTGCTAACAGAAAGCACCTCAGGCCACTCCTGACCCAGGCCTGTCCAGAGAATGTGGGCATGTGAGTGGGCACCACTACCTTGCAAAGAATGCAGAAGTAGGGGCTGGGGATTTAGCTCAGCGGCATAAGCACCTGCCTTGCAAGCAGGCAGTCGTGAGTTCGATCCCTGGTACTGATAAAAAAGAAAAAGACAAAAAAAAAAAAAAAAAAAAAAAAAAGAATGCAGAAGTATGTTAGCCCGAGTTGTGCCCCAGCGCCAGCATTCAGACCTCCCTAGTCCCCATACATACACTCATTCACTTATTCACTTAACAAGAATTTCCGAATTTGTTGCAGATCCCCAGAGTAGCCCATCATTCCTCCGGTGGGGAGCACACTCACTGCCCTACCACTTTCCCTAAGCCACCACCAAATGCTGGTCTTTTCATGGGTGCCCTTGACCACTGTTCTCCACTTTTCACCCAGAACCCAGTCATCTTTTTAAAGCAGAGATCAAACCACATCATTCCTCTCCAATTTCCCACAGCAACCAGCATGAAATCCAGGCCACTCATCTCCCTGCCCCACACTCCCATGTGAGCCAACTCCTTCCTGTGTCCATCCTCTCTTTAGTCCTGCTGCTAGGTGCTGCTAGCTTGGTCCCTTTGCACTGGGATCTCCACATGAGCTCTGCAATCTCCTTCCTATTGTGTGGGCTCCAGGTGGCCCTCCCTGACCACCCTGACTAGATCGCCATCCTCTAGTCACGGGCTCTTCTCTGGCACACCTCATACACACCTTGTTTTAAAAACACAGAAAAGTCAATGTGCTTGTATCTGTGCATATTCTCTGCTCTGAGAGAACAAAGTTTCCCAAGGAAAAAGGCTCTCTTGTTCATGATGTTCCAGCACAGAGTGGTTGGAGCCACCTGTCAGAACCAGCCTATCCTGTACCCACCCCCATACAACCAGTGGATGTTCAGCCAACAGAATGTGTTTCCACTGGGGAGAATGTACTGCCTCCCCAATACTGGGCTTGGAGAAAGCCAAAACTTGGTAGGGAACTGGGAGAGGCAAGGCCACCCCACTCAACCAGGCCTTCCCAGGCTCTCCATGCCTGCCTCCAATTCTCCACCCAAGGGGATGGTTCACACTGAAATTTAACAATTTGAAAGAACACCTTCTCCATTTTCTCCATTGAAAGAGAGTCATCTTTTTTTGTTTTTGTTTTTGTTTTTTTGTCTTTTTTTAAGACGGGGTCTCACTATGCAGTTCAGGCTGGCCTTGGGCTCACTTTGTAGCCCAGGCTGGTCTCAAATTCGCAACGATCCTCCCACTTCAGCCTCCCAAGTGGTGGGATTACAGGCGTGAGCTACCACGCCCGGCAAGAGAGTCATCTTGCTACTTTCACTGAATGTATGAGACTGTGTGGCCCAGAGTAATATAGCTCCCTTTTTATTAACAGCACCTCAGTTTTGCCTTGGAATATCTCCCCTCTGTCACTGAAGGTGTCTCAGTGATACTGTTAATAACTGGTTTCACTCAAGACCACAAGGTGGGATCCGAGGTTCCCATTTTGTTTTCTGAGCCCTGTCTGTGAGCTAAAACTGGTGGCAGCCCAGGAATGAGACCCCAGTCACATGCAGACCCCTGGTAGATTTCCGTAAGGCCCACTCTACACTGGCAAAGCAACAGCCAGGTGTCCCCCACTGGGCTCCAATTCAACCAGAGTCTTTCTATTCCCAGTTTACCCAGAGTATAATAAAATCCCCGCTGGTGTGTTTTCTTCCTTCAGCCAGCCTCTCCAATCCTTCAAACCCGCTGCACCCACACCAAGAGGAGGAGAAGACTGCTTAATGCTAAGGCCCACCAGCCCCAAAGGAACGTTCAATCCCTGGTGCTGTACAGAAGCACACACCCCAGGCCTATCTGCAGTGCAGAAAGACAGCACATTTCCCCTCTGAACCTCTCTTTTATCAAGGCCTCTGTTTCCAAACCCAACCAGAGCAGGCCCTAGTCTCTGTTAGACTCCTCACATAGAAAAAGTTTTTGGAATCACATGCTTGTAGAAAAGGCAAAAACTGAAAATTCAATTGAAACTTCAGGGCCATCTGTCTGACTAAAGAAAAGAGGCCTGACTTAAATAAAGACACAATTAAGTCTCCAAATGAGGAACTGGTCTGTGCAGGAAATACTAGGCCTTAACCACGGTTTTCTGCAACTTTCTTCTGCAAATTACTGACCAAAGCAATCAGGTCACTTTTTCCTTCTCCTGTCACAGAGTACAGGGATCCACAGTGGAACAGGGAAGAGCTTACAGCCATACACCACAGGGAATGAGCACAGCAAGCACACCTTTTAAACAGCACCAGTGAGAGACTGGCAGTAGAAAGCAGAAAGAAAATCCAGGCTGAAGGGAGCAGTGCCCTTGGGTGGAAGCCCTCAAAGACACTAACGGAGATCCCACAGCCCTGCTTCCAAGGCCTTAGAGGTATGTAGGTACAGGGGTCCCTCGGGTAGCTCTGCCTACTCAAGGTGAAAGGCAAAAGACTTCCTCAGACTCTATGAGCACTACTAGTCCTAACTTCAGGCCAGTCCATGGCCTGCCTGGGTGCCTTGCTGGGCTGCTGAGCCCCAAATACAATTTGGCATCACCAGGAGATAAAGACTCCCAGTGCCTAGGCAGCTGGGTACAAGGCCCAACATGGTCACTGCCCCTTCAGACTGGCAAGTGCCTCAGCCCTGGCATCTTAATCTCATAAGCACAGAAGGAAGTATCCATTCTACCTACCAGATTAGTCCCCCAAAAAACTTGTGTGAGTTGGTACGGGGAAAGTCAAGCAACCTGAAGCCACAAAGCACCCTCTGCCCCACAGCAGCCACTTGCCAGCTCCCTTTGGTCTCCCAGACTTGACAGAGGGCTGGGAGACTTCCCAGGGAAAGAAGGCCAGGCCTGGCCAAAGGAGGTGGTCACTCTGGAAACAAGGGAGGGCCCTTAGCCCCCCTCCTGCGCACGTGGGTGTACGGGAAGGAGCTGCAGGAGCGCAGTGCTTCAGGGTCAAATGTCTGGGCTGTGTTCCAGTGGCAGCAGCTAATGTTAGAACAGCAGAAGGAAGAACCGCTCAGCAGAGGGAAGCAACCCAGAGGAGGAGGAAAGGGGAGCCAGTCTAGTCATGGCTGCTGACTGTGTGAGCTAAGCCAGGGCTGAGGGCAAGGCCTGTGCCCTCAGACCATCTCTCCTAGATGTGTGGGCCCTGGTGCCCAGAAAGGAAAAATTTGAGCGCTCATCAGTTCTTTTTTTCCAACATACATGAAATCCAAATCATCAGTTCTTTTTCCTACATCATTCCCAGGAATAGGGACATTCACACTGTTTTTTCAAAGGACTATTTTTTCAAAGGAAAATGAGAGTCATTATAAGGCTGACTGGAAAGGTGTGGACAAAAGCTGCTCCTCTTGCTCCTCACTAGGCTTCAGGGCAACAGTGTGGCTCTCTTCCAGCAAGTCTTAACACCCAGGACTCCCAGCGCCCCTGTGACTCTGCCCTGAGGCCTCAGGTCTTCTCCCTTCTGTGATGAAAAGCAACTCATGGCCCAGGATGAGCTGTGCCTCAGGGATCTGCTCCCAGAATTCCAAATGGCCTGTGCTGGTGCATTTCCCAGCCTCCCTAGCACCGTGTTTTCTTTTTTAATCTTAACTCTCCACTTCTGTTATCTTCTCAGTCTGACTGGAAAACAAAAGAGAAATTATTTTCCGTCTTTCCTGTTGCTATCTTCAAGGTACAGTATTTACATGAGGATGATGTTACAAGTTGTAAAAGTGAGTGTAAAATCCATCGTAAAAAAAAAAAACAAAAAAAAAAAAAAAACAACCATCACCTTCCTCTGAGCATTTGCTGGCTATGAACACAGACACCAGATGACCCTGAGGTTTGGTGTCCTGGAGGACATTGCTGATCTGTTCTGAGGCCCTGCTTAAAAGTTCTGTCCTGGACACTCCTACCCAGACTCCATCCGCAATTTCCTGCCTGGTTAAGGGCTAGAAATGGGTTGTGTAAGGCTTTGGACTCTGTGAGTCACATCCCAGACCCCCCAGCACCTTCCTATGGGCCCACAATGGGCTTCTACTTGCCCCAAGTAAACAGCATTGGGCCAGGACCGGAACACAGCCAACAGTCTGTGTGTGTTGTCAACCAACCCACAGACGGGCCACTCCATGGGGGCTGCTCCCATACTGGCCCACCATCTGGAGCAGAGAGGGGAAAGAGAGCAGGCTAAGACAGATGGGCCCACAGCACTACGCCAGGTGGCTCTGGGCCTGGATCAGCCAGTAACAAGAAGCAACAGAAAGGAGGACACTCTCCAGGGAGGTGGGCAGAGTCTGGGAAAAAAAATGAAGACCCCAATCTAACAGACAGAAAGGGAGGCCGAGACTCTTCCAAAGAGCCTGCTCACTTCTTCTTGCCTTCCTTCTTTTCTGAAAAGACATGTTTCTCCTGGCAGTAGTTCAGGCCAATCTCTCAAAAATCAGCCCAGCTCACCTCAAGCCTATGTGCCCAGCAGCCAGGTCCATGACCAAGGCCAGAAAGGCCCACCCTGAGAAGGAATTGAGCACAACCGCAGCCGCAGAGGCCAAAAGCACCAGGGAAAAGCACCTGGCTTGGGACTTCTTCATGGCCCCTTGCCCTGAGGCTGCTTCTTCTGGTCAGGGATACTCTAGATATAGTCTCTAGATTTTCTCAGGAAAAGAAAAATGAACAGAGCAGCTCATAATATCTGCATCCCACCTCCACAGCTGTGATCTAAGCAGTAGCCAGCAAGGGACCAAAACAATGGCAAACTTAAAAGCCACTGGGCAATGGGAGCCTGCACATGCATTCATTAAGCACCTACTAGGCACTAGATGCAGGTGGGTCAGGTCCTAGGTACCAAGTATTCAGCAATAAGCAAAAAGAGACAAAATATCCTGCTTTCATAAAGCCCCATTCTAGCATGGGTATTCACTCAGCAAACACAACAAACAGTAACTGTAAAAAGTGGTAAGTGCCTAAGGCAGAAATTAGATGGAAAAAGAGGACAGAAAGTATATGTAATGGGAGGTAAAGGGAAAACAGAGGCTGGGGGCAGGATTAAATTTTAGGCTGAGAAGAAAAAAAGGGCCAGGGTAGAAAGGAAAGAACTCCAGGTCATAAAGGAAGTGCAAAGGCAC